AAAAAAGTGCAAGATCTTACGATCAGATGCTTTCTGAACCAAGAACTGGAATTCTTCATTCAGTGTTGTACAGATATGCTATTTCCAGATATAGTTATTGGCTTGGGAGCCATAGATGTTCTACATCATCCTAAAGACAATGTCCATTGGTTCAACCTTTGATAATCCAGCCACTTCAGCAATACTGGGAAGCAGCAAGCATTCCTTTTCAGACTGAATGAATATGTTAGTCAGACATTTCAATCTATTCTATTCTATACAGAATAGAACTCGAGATGCAATCGAGTGACTGATTAACCAATGGAAGATATGGCTCAATGAATTTGGACTGCAACTTTATTTGGCAAGAATTAAATACCTGGAATGCAGCATCCAGACAGATGGTAAAATCAGTTGATAGTACCCTGCTTGTAAAGGCCTCTGATTTTTCATTACCTTGTATCCTGCATAACTGATGATGACATACTTCTGGATGCCTGGACACAAGTGATTGATCCTGGTTGAAGTGGTGGCAGGTCACTGGCATCCTCTACATCTGGAAGATCCTGCTGTGCCTTAAATCGAAGATCTACCACATGGTTGCCCATCCAGTGGCACTCTATGGGGCAGAATGCTGGCCAACAGAGAGACAAACAGGGACCACACACAATGAAAATACAAATGATCAGATCACGGGGGAAGGGTCACCTGGATGGATCATTGCAAACAAAAACATCTGGAAGGCCTTCAAGACAAAATGAGAGAAGCAAGACTGGTAGTATAGATATGTGGTCAGAGTGATGTGGAATCCATTGTGAGGTGGACCCTTGCCCTCTGTCCAGATTGCCAGCACCCTCAAAACCAGCTGATGAACAAATGGACTGCCTGCATGAAGATATGCGAGCTGTAAATTTATGCTCCATTGATGCAGACTGGATAATTGGTGAAATGCAAAACTGGACCATGCAATATGATGGTAGTAATGCAAACAAGACTTTCCATTCTACACAGATCAGATGCAGATTTACATTGATAAAGGGTCACCACTAAAAACTGAACAGCTACTGCTGCTTTACTATACAGAGGTAACATAATCCTGAGCAATTTTTACCTTAGCAGAGCATGGTATTTATTGAAGAACTGCTACTATCACTCCTTTATTTTGTTAATCCCACTTTTAACTCCAGCTCAGAGAATAAATTTCATTTAATAAATTTCATTTCCAATAGTGCAGGTTATATTTATTTTGGTGCTAGCAAACCAAAATAAACTGCAATAGCAAACCTAGACAGAGTCCATGATACAACCTTCTTATGCAAGTCAAAGTACAGGCGTAAGTACATGAGATTAGAAATAATGACGTGAGAGACTAAAAAAAAAAGTTTTATTAAGAGTTCAGAAACAATACTAGAATAATGGTTATTGTCTGATTCTCTCCTATAATGCTTTATTCTGGACCATGTATTAAGTTCATAGAATTTTTTAGCTGTTTGTTATTAAAAAAAAGTTCAGAATTGCTAAAATGTCAGTAAAATGCCATGCCTATTTACATAAGCAAATGCATTACAAATTTAAATTGATAAATTATTACTATAAATGCAAATTAATTCCTCTGTACATCATGTGATAAAAGTCTTAACAGAAATACAGGAGTCATTTTAGAAGGGAAAGGAAGACCAATATAGCTTTCACAATCCAATAGGCTGCTTTGATAAAAAGCTAGTTGCTAAAAACAACTTGAAATCAATGAGGTAAAATTAACATAGCATATAGGAAGTCAAGTCATGTTTTTAGTGCTTTAAAGTAGAAAAAGGAAGTTTAGAGTACATTATAGTCCCTCTCAAGCACTGCTACAATTCTTATCCCATTTAAAATAATGTATGGGATTATTTCCCCTTTAATTGGAAAATTTCCACTACATGGATGTTTTTGAATAGTTAATGATTTTTAAAATTAATTACTCCTGTATTTTGGAAAAAAAAAATGTGATTTAGAGACGAGATGGAAAACCCCTTGTCAATAAACTTACCATGTCATATTTACAAACCAATGATAAATGNAAATTTATTCATTATTAATTTTAGAGTGATCATTGAAAAGTTAAAGAATTGCCATATTTAGCATAAAATAATGCATCATTTACTGCAACAATTACGATCTTTTTTATAATAAAAAAATATTGATATATCTACAAATACCAATTTAGCATTGCAACTTTCCAGATTCAAAATATGTTCCTTTTTGAAATTATAAATCTTTCTTTCTTTGAATTGCAAAAAAAGTATTTTTCATAAAATAAATAAAATAAAATGTTATAAATATTGTGTTTACAAATAAAATAAAATGTGAATAAGTAAACTAACATAAGCAATTGGATATTTATTTTAATAATTTCAGTTGCACATTTTAGAAAATGTTTAAAATGAAAGCTTTGTTTTGCTTACAAACATTGTTCAACTTTTTTTAAAAAATTCATGCTTAGAACTGTATGTATATTGTTTATGTTCTGTTGTTCTTAGGCATTAGTTAATCTGTAGTTTGAATCAGTTTTTGAATTTTCTTCCTTTATTTTTGCCAATGGGTGAAAAATGGAAGGAATGACTGGTATGTCAGCATTGTGACTAAATTTGGCCCTCAATTTCTATTTTCATGTGATGAAAAGATATTTGGAATAAACACAAATATTCTTACAGTAAATATGTCATGCTAGATATCTTGCAATGTGGCTGCAAGAAACCTGTTAATTGTCCTAATAAACCTAATTTAGTAGCTCATTGACTTTATAAACCTAATTTAGTAGTTCATTCTTCTTTATTAAAGCCATTATCCATGCTCTCCTCTTTCATGTTGTATGTTTTTTTTTCATTGGTTCTGTCTCTTTCCTCTTCCCACTGATAGAATGCATTGGACAGACAAGAACAGTTGACTCCCCTTGGTGTCCACTTGGCACGATTACCTGTGGAGCCACACATTGGAAAAATGATTCTGTTTGGAGCCTTATTCTGTTGCTTAGATCCTGTTCTCACTATTGCAGCTGGCCTCAGCTTCAAGGACCCCTTTGTCATTCCCTTGGTAACGTATCTAAAAATAAAATAGAAAACATGTAAAATGCCTTTTTTTAAAATGTTAGTAGGAAATAGCTGGCAGAAATCCAATGTTTTACTTGATTCTATTCTAATTGTAGCAAATTCAACCACAGTTTATTGCATGCTCAGAATGATTTATTTTTAAAAACTAAACAGATGAAAAAGGGTTCTTTGTTTATCTCAATAAGTATTTTCCTCCTCTAAAGGGTAAAGAAAAATTAGCAGATGCAAGAAGAAAGGAACTCTCAAGAAATTCTAAAAGTGATCACCTGACTGTTGTGAATGCTTTCAAGGTAATTCTGTTACAATTGGCAATCTGTAGTAATTTCAGAGGATAGCTGCCTCTTTGAAAGAAAAGCTTGCAGAACTCATAAATATAAGAAACCTTTGTTGCTGGGCAATGAATGAAAGCCAGAGGAGTTTTCTTACTGCGGTGTATATTTAATTTACTGGCAAAGTGAAGCATAATCTATGTTACAAATACTTTTAATTTGAACACCAAATTCTTACATCAGTACCTGTTGTGATTCATTCTAAATAATCTTAAAATTTCAGTTTAATTTCACTTCAATGTTTCATCCGGTTTGTATATGACGAAGTCCCTTTATCTTTGTTTTAAAGCCTAAGATTAATTACTTCAAATGTGTTTGTGAAAAAAAATATCTTGTGATAGTGTAGGTAAAGGCAAGCTTTTGGATCATAGTCCATTAATTGCCTTTTTATTAAAAATAGTGCTTTGGAATTAATTTTATTTCTCTTTTATTCATTACATTTTTATGTAATGTAATCTCCCCTACAAGGAAACTATGGGCGACAGGATTATTCCTTCCCTATTCTTATTATATCTGAGAATGCTGTAAGGTAACACTATTAATTTTGTTCGAGGCTATTTCTTGTTTTGCAAAAATACATAGCTTGTTTGACAGAGATTATCAGTATATGTACTGTTTCAAAAATAATGTATTTTAATTATAAAATTTCCTATTTACTATGACAATTCCTAAATCTACTTGGTATCTGGCATCTCACTTTATTTTAACAATCACATTTCTTCAGTTTTTCTTTGAGTTATTCTAGTAGGACCTGTATTAACACACGCATCTTGTTTTCAGGGTTGGGAAGAAGCTCAGCGGCGTGGCTTCAGGTATGAGAAGGATTATTGCTGGGAGTACTTTCTTTCTCCCAATACCCTGAAGGTAATAACTGTTTTCCTCTTGGAATATAGGAAATCCAGACTACATTTTACCACATTGTTTCTGGCAGGAAACTGCATTTTACAAATCCGCAAAAGATTAATTGGTGCGTATATGTTACTCTCTAGATGCTGCGAAACATGAAAGGGCAATTTGCAGAACATCTCCTTGCAGCTGGGTTTGTGAATAGTAGGAACCCTTGGGATCCCAAATCCAACATTAACTCAGGTAAATGTTGAGGGAGAAACAAAATAACAGAGAGGTTTTCGGTTCTTCCATTGAGAGTTTCACTTCCCCTGACTATCTTGTCTTCCAGAAAATGAGAAGTTACTCAAAGCTGTTATCTGTGCTGGATTATATCCAAAAGTGGCCAAAATCCGAGCAAACTTCAGCAAAAAGAGAAAAATGTAAGGCTTCTGAAAATGTACTCTGAGACTATTCATGAGGAATGCATATAGATCAATTTATTAAGCAGAGCTCAATAATATTGCAGCAAATTTACTTGGTATATTGGTTGTCTTTTTAGCACTTCTGCCTGCTGAGATTTGGTGTGTAATCATTGAGGAGAATACTTTTCAATGAGCACTATTAGGCATCTTACCTCTTTTAAGCAGCAGGATATGACTTTTCAATAGTCCTTCAATCCTAGCTTCTAACAATGTAGCCAATATGATCTAGGATCTTTTCTAAGGTCTCTGTACAGTACAAACTTTTTGGGTCTGCCCCAAGATTTTCTTACAGTATATGCAAGGAAGGAAGAGTGAGAATTGGAAGACTACATTTATCCATGCTTTTTGTTACTTTATCTATGTTTAAGACAAATTGCTTAAAAGTGTTCCAAACAAAAAACAAAAACTGTCATACAGCTACCGGTAATTCTTGCTTAATGACCTTAATTGGGTTCAGAAACTCTGCTGCTAAGCAAAGCTGTCACTGAGAAATGGCATGACTGTACTGTCTGGCTGAAAAGATAAAAGAATTCAGTTTTACACCATTGACTATTGCTTGCCTCCTAATAATCCCCTTCCACTTTGGAATGTTTGAGTGCCTGCTTAATGTCTTGTTGTATAAATCAATGTGAACAGACTGCAACCCCGGGCTGGGAGCCATGGGGCCCTATGCAGACTTACTCTCTTGAAATCCCTTTGTCTCTATAATATCTCCATAATCTAAGGAGGGGGTGGAAGGAAAAACAACCCAAGCTATTCCTGTAGGCAATCCTTTTGCCTTATCCTCCTACCTTTCACAGTAGAGAGTTTGGAGAGGAAGATATTTCAAGAGAGTAAGCTGTTGCATTATTCCCATGGCTCCTAGCTATATCTTAAACATCCTAATCACCATAATATAAGAAAAACCCCAGAAACTGAATTTGAGGATTATATAGATTTCATGTTTATTTTGGTTATTTTAAGCTCTCTAAAGTCTTATTAAAAAAAAATCTTTAAGAAGTCAACTAATCAGATATTATTGAAGGGTATCATGTTGATTGTATTAACATCTGAAAGCTGAAACAAGTTGCAATAATATTGTTTTGTCACTAGATGGTGTTGCTAATGAACATTTTAACATCTTTACTCTTAATTGCTCTCATTTACATATTCTAAAAGTATGTTTGTTCAGCAAAAATATGTTAATTATTTTTGGGATATCCTGAATTAGGAAATGGTAGAAAATGGCTTTTTATTAATAACAGAACATCTACTATGTAAAAAGTAAATAAAAAGGTAGCAGTGGGTCATCGATTTGGAACTATCTTTGAAAAAGCAATCTTTTATACATGGAAAAGAAAAATAAAAGAATTTATGCATACAAGAGTACTAAATATAGGAAAATAACTGGATTCTTTTAATGAGGAATTTTAAAAGATTATTATTAATCTCCTTTACGTGTACTTTTTGGTTCTTGTCAAAGTTTTAATGTAATGTTTCTTAACCATGGCAGACATCAATTTCCAAAATTCTCCAGCCAGCCATGGAGTTGTAGTGGATACATCTTAAAGTTGCTAAGGTTGAGAAACATTGGTTCAGTATATAAGCTACTTTCTAACTTATTTTTTTGAGATAAGACATATATAATGTTCCCCATCTACACTTGCTGATCCTTACACAAAACAATAGTTTTATTTCATTGAGGGAATTACATTCCAGGTTTTCTTCAATTTTCCCCATTCCTAGTTACCTCCCTCCATGCTACTTTTTTCAGAGGCTCCCTCAACTCTTAGGACCAGTCAGAAGTCAGTGTCTCACTGTAGAATGGAGAGTAAATCAGCAAATTGTCATTTCAGGCCTTTAAAAAAAATATTTTTTTTTATTCCTGTACATCTCTGTCATGTAAGTTGTAACTGCTTTGTGTCTTTCAGGGTTAAAGTTTCCACCAAAACAGATGGAACAGTGAATATTCATCCCAAATCTGTGAATGTTGAAGAAACAGAATTCCATTACAACTGGCTAGTTTATCACTTGAAAATGAGGACAAGTAGTGTAAGTTGAACATTTTTTTACTAATTTTAAATATGTGTGTATATAGATGGATGTTGGCTGAAACAATTGTGATCTTTCTATGCTTGTTTCATCCCAAATAACCCTTATTAGCTACAGACATCAAGTAGATATAATTAAGCTTTCCTCAAGAAAGTAATAGCAATAGGTAGATAAGCTGAGACTGGAAGATGTCAGCATTAACATGAACATTAAGTATTAAATACTTAGTATTAAGTATTAAGTAGTATTAAGTACTTAATACTTAAGTATTAAGATGATGTAGCCAGTATGAATAAATCTATACGAATAAATCCTATTGTATATTCACTTTTGTATCATGCTTTTTGCTTAATACAAAGCAAAAAGGTACAAAGGTATTATCGCCTTTGCTTAGCATTTGGTCCTATGCAATACTATCAGTACGAAAGAGAAAACTTTTATGTAATTATTACAAAAATATCTGAGTTGATTTGCATTCAGTCAAGCGCAATTAAGAGCTGCTTTTAGTCTGAATAATAAAACAAGCCTTTAAATTAATTAATTTAATTAAACTTAGTGAAATAGATAATATGAAATGCCTGATGGGTTAGAAATAAAAACAAAAACTCCTCATTTTTTCTTTGTGGTTACAGTAGAAAACAAATATAACTTCCAAAGCTGCAAGAATGGGGTTTATTTATTTTATTGTAAATCATGATTTGCTGTGCTATTTGGACATCGTAAAGGCATTTAAAATCAAATAATGTTCCAAGGCCCTATGTTGATTACATTTCTATATTTATTGTGTGTGAAATGTTTTTGTTACTGTAGATATACCTGTATGACTGTACGGAAGTTTCGCCATATTGTCTTTTGTTTTTTGGAGGAGATATTTCAATTCAAAAGGACAAAGATCAGGATACAATAGCTGTAGATGAATGGATTGTTTTTCAGTCTCCAGCAAGAACAGCACAGTTAGTAAAGGTGAGTTTCCGCTACCCTCGTGGAATTGGCCACTTAAAATAGTTTACACAATTTAATAATTATATTATAAAGACTTTTAAAAACATGTGTCATATAGATTATTTCCTTTGCCCCCCACCTTGTTTGGTGCCTTCGGGATACTGCTATGTCAGCGAGCAGTGCTCTACCTGGCCAGAGGGGGGGGGGATTGTCCAGGGGGCTTATTTTCAGGGGTGGGCTTATATTTTTGCACACGTGAAAAATGTGGCAAGGCTTTAGTTTCAGGACAGGTCATATTTTCAGGGAAACACGGTAGTGATATATCAAAGAGAAAAATTGAAGCAAATACTTTAAACATTACTGTCAAGAGAAAAATAAATAAAAAAGGTCATAAATTCTGTGAAAATCTTAAATATACAGGTATGCACAGTATAACTGGAAAAACATGAGTATGGCTTGTTGGCTGTGCAACTTGTTTAACACATCTTTGAAGGTTGCTTCTATGCCTGAAGATTGAAAGAATGCTGTTATTTTTCCCTGTATACAACGGAAAATATATCAGCTTCTGACAAGCAAAGTCAATTGGGGAATTGCTTTAATGATAGTGTAATTTACTAAATGACTCCATGATTTGCTTAATCACCATGATAAAAATGGGCTTTAAATCAGGTCCAGGGAGGACTCACTTAATGACCATATCACTTAGTGACTGAAATTCCTGTCCTTATTGTGGTTATAAGCTGAGAATGACCTATAAACTTTCACCAACAATTCTTTTTTATCCTTAGGATTTGAAAAAAGAATTGGATGACCTTCTGCAAGAGAAAATAGAAAATCCACAACCTGTGGACTGGAACAATACTAAATCAAGGGACACTGCAGTGTTGACAGCTATTATAGATTTAATCACTACACAAGAGAATGAAACTGCCAGAAACTTTGCACCTCATTTCCAAAATGAACAATACAATTAATAGTGTTTCCTTGTTGAAAACATGGTAACGCTACCAATTTTTTCCCCATCTCTTTTAATTTTTTTACATCTGGACATCTTGTTATTTCATCTTTAGCGTTAGTATTTCATAATGGCTTTGTGTAAATGGCATGGCGTGTATAAAGTACTAGTTAAGTGCATTATCATCTGTAATATTGTATATGTGCGTCAAGTTATTTTCCGCTTCTTGTATAACTGATTTCCCTCTGGCAAAAGTTGGATAAAATAAAATGAACCGATTTTTACATTTTTTGGCTTACACAATTCTGTGAAATTGTTGGTTTGAAAAGTGATCAGATTAACTAAAATTTCACTTTTTGAATATTAGTCTTATATTTATTGTCTGTTTAGAATTAGTAAGGAATTCAGTTAGAACCAATTTATATCCTGCTGGGAGCTGTAGAATTGAATGAAGTCACTAGATGAAGAGTATGATGGGAAAGGCATTCATGAAATGGAATCACTTTAGGAATGTGAGCTTCATTCCAGCTGTTTTGCATACAATGTAAGAAATAATATGTTGACTTTCACCAACCAAGCTTTGTCTGATAGCTTGCAAAAAACTGCCAGCTGTTTGGATGAGAACAGGGTTTCATGTTTTCTCTTTGCAAAGGGAATTTGAATATGGAGCTGTGGAATAGAAATAAGGTCCTTCAAATTCTAATGGAATCAAATATGCATTAACTGTACACTAAAGAACAACCTCTATTTCAATAGTGTATTTTTAATTGTTCCTGCAATTATAGTTGAGCCCTTTTTAAAAAATCAATCTGTCCAAGTTAGCCAGCCTCTTAATGTATGCAACTCCCTGAATTCCCAGTTTTCCCAGCTGAGATTTGTGAGAGTTGAAGTTGACACATTTGGAGGCCGTGAAAGCTTGGAAATGTATTTGTCCTAGTGTTCATAATGCAGAAAATTCTAGCATAATTATAGGATTTTAGAATATTCATGAACTTATTTCAAGAATGGGAGAAATACATGGTTGTTTTGGCCGTGTCTGAATGTCATTTTTGAACTCTTCAGGACTACACAAATATTTCTTGCAGAATCTGGATTTAAGCAGTATCTACTTATCAAACAATTAATTTTAAAGACATATAGATATCTTGAAACTGATGTATCAATTCACGTCCAGCTAATATACTTTTAAACCATGGTACAAGTCCTTCCTCTTCCTGGTGCATGCAACTCTGAATCTTAAAAAACTTTTTAAAGAGATTAATTGCAATTTTATAGACGTTGCTTGTATGACTCAAGGTTGTTTGCTGAATATGTTTGATTTCTTGTAACCTGATGAACTCCCTAAATTTTCCATAAATTATGTCCAAAATTCACATGTTTGGTTCTCTAGTTGGTTTCCTAATATATTATTGCAGTTTATTCCAATATACTTTTACTGTATATGCACATATTGTTTAATAGGCAGTTCTGAAAAAATGTTCCAGTTCACTTGTAAAATTTAGAAGATTTGCTAGGAAAGATTGTATTAATATTCAAGTGGAACATTATTTCTCTCTCCATCCTGTAAAACAAAACAGACATTATTAGGCACAGAAGGCCACATAAAATTTAGTACTCCTGCTAAGTGCTTGCTAATGAAAGTAGCTGCATAGATTCCTATAAACAATTATGTAGATTTTTTTTTCTGATCTTATCTTCTCAGTGAATTCATCTGGGAAGTATTGTGTATTGTGTGGGAAACATGCCCTTCAATACATTAGGTTGTCTAGAGGTTCCTTGCTGTAGCTGTTATTTTTTTAAGTAAAGGTTAAGGTTCCCCTGTCCAGTTGTGTCCAACTATATGGGGTGGTGGTCATCTGTGTTTCTTAGCCAAGTCATCGTTGTCCAAAGACATCTCTGGTCATATGAACAGCATGATACACCAAGGTGAACAGAATACTGTTACCTTTCCAACAAAGTGGTACCTATTTATCTACTCATATGCATGCTTCCAAATTGAGCCAGGGTGGCACAGTGGTTCGAGTGCAGTGTTGCAGGCTACTTCTGCTGACTGACTGCAGTTTGGCAGTTTTAATCTCACCAGGCTCAAGGTTGACTCCGCCTTCTGTCCTTCCAAGGTGTGTAAAATGAGGACCCAGATTGTTAGGGGAAATATGCTGACTCTAAACTGCTTAAAGAAGGCTGTAAAATGGTATATAAGCCTTATTTGCTATTGCTAGCTGGGCATTTTTTAAATTAATGTAGGATAAATTACTTGAACTCATTCGCAAAAACTTGTCCTTAAGGAATAGAAATTATTTTAGCATGTTATCTTATAATTTTCTGATGTAGATATGAATCTGTTGGGAAACAAACTGTTACTGTAATGGAATTTTTTGGTTGCACACTTGAGCATCAAACACATGTTGTATAAACGTGCCTAATGGGT